GATATAAGCAACTTTGAGGAAGGTCTCCCGCTTTTGGCACACTTGAATCCTGCATGTAGCCGAGTTGTTATTCAGCAACCTGCCAATTTTGGGACTGTTAATGGGATTTGAATCAATGGCCTGCCACATGAGTTGGTAATATCAGGACTGTGCCATTTTATTTGTCGACCTTGGGCTTGTTAGCCTCAGCAGCTGCCTGAGTGAAGAGACACCTCTAGCTTCAGTGGGCCAGGAGTAAGAGGCAAAGCTGAAGCCCAAGGTTGAGGGGCTTTCACCCAGCCTCTGGAGCCTGGCACTTTGAACTAGGACTTCTAGCCTCCAAAACTATAAAAGAATAAACTCCTGTTTGTTCAAGCCACCCATTTGTGGTATATCCCTGTCAGAGTGGCACAAAGTAACCAAAACAGATAATATTGCAAAGAACAGGAATTCCAGAACACTTAATTGTTTTCAAGAGGAACCTGTACATAGACCAAGAGGCTGTTGTTCAAACAGAACAAAGGCATACGGCATGGTTTAAAATTAGGAAAGATGTGCATCAGGGTTGTAACCTTTCACCAGACTTATTTAATCCATATGCTAAGCAAATAAACCAAGAAGATGGACAACATGAAGAAGGAAGCAGCATCAGGAATGAAAAACCATTTACAACCTGTGATACGCAGATGATACAACCTTTCTTGATGAAAGTGAAGAGGACTTAAAGCACTTACTGGTGAAAATTAGACTGTAAAGATGACAGTCTTCAGTATGGATGACACAACATAAAAATCCTCACAACTGGACCAACAAGCAATATTATGATAAATGGAGAAAAGATGGAGGTTGTCAGGGATTTCATTTTACTTGGATCCACAGTCAACACCCACACAAGCAGCAGTCAGATAATCAGACGTCATATTACACTGGGCAAACCTGTTACAAAAGACTTCTTTAAAGTGTTAAGCAGCAAAGATGTCAGTTTTAAGACTAAGGTTCACCTGACCCATTCAACTCACTGCCTGCCATCAAGTTGAGTCCAACTCATAGAGACCCCCACATTGGGTTTCCAAGGCTATAAATCTTTATGGAAGCAGACTGCCTTTTCTCCCACAGAGCAGCTAATGGGTTCGAACCACCAACCTTCTGGTTAGCAGCCAATGCCTTAACCACTACACCACCATAGCTCCTGTGCCTGACCCAAGCCATAGTATTTTCAATTGTCTTATATGGGTGTGAAAGCTGGACGATGAATAAGTAAGACCGAAGAAGAGTTGATGTCTCTTAATTGTGGTGTTGGTGAAGAATACCAAAAATATCATGGACTACCAAAAGAATGAACAATTTTGTCCCAGAAGAATTGCAGCCAAAATGCTCCACAGAAGCAAGAATGGCCAGACTTTCACTCACCTACTATGGTCATGTTGTCAAAAGGGACCATTCCCTGGAAAAGGACATCATACTTGGTAAAAGCAGAGGGTCAGCAAAGAAGAGGAAGACCTTCAATGAAATGGACTGACACAGTGGCTCCAATGATGGGCTCAAGCACAGCAAGGATTGTGAGGATGGTGCGGAACTGGACAGTGTTTGGTTCTGTACACAGGGTTGCTGTGAGTAAGAGCTGACTCAATGGCATCTAACAACATCACTTACATTACCAGTCCTCTGTATTCAAGTCTTTCTGTGCTTCACAATTCAAGAGTTATCACCTCAAAGTGTGTTCATCATAGCATCACTCAAAAACTCCCTATAAAGTAGAAATATCATGTATAGCATTAAAGGTACTACACAATCTGCGGATTCTGTTACAATCTCATCTTCAATCACCTTTTCCTAAATATCCTCTTCTCTAATCACATTACTCCACAAAAACACCTTACACTTTCATGCCACTCTGTATTTCTCTCTCCATCCTCTAACTGAAATCACAGCCACTTCTATCTTTCTACCCATTTCAACCCAAACAAGCCTTGTAAGCTGTTTAAATGTCCATTACTATTCTGATTCCCCATTATAAACTTAATCATTTCATCTTCCACATTTCACTAGTATTTTGTAATGCTATTATTAAAATGAGGCAGAATAGGAGAACAGAAAGAATATAGGTTTGGGGGTCAGAAAGACCTAAGTTCAAATTCCAGTCTTGCCACTTATTAGCTGTGTGATATTGGGTAAATTACTCAAACTTTTCTTTATTCATTTTTCTTAAATTGCAAAATATATACATAGCATAAAATTTGCCATTTTAAATACTAACTGTACAATTCAGTGGCATTAATTACACTCACTGTGTTGTTCAACCATCACCAATATTTCTAAAATGTTTTCATCACCCTACACAGAAACTCTGTACACACTAAGCAGTAACTCCCCCATTCTCCCTTCCCTCTAGTCCCTGGTTACCTCTGATCTACTTTCTATTTCTGGGAATTTGCCTATTCCAGATAATTCAAGTAACAGGAATCATAATATTTGTCCTTTTGGGTCTGGCTTACTTCACTCAGTATAATGTTTTCAAAGTTCATCCATGTTGTAGCACAATTCAGAACTTCATTTCTTTTTACTGCTGCGTAATATTTTATTGCATGTATATACCACATTTTATTTATCCACTTATCTATTGATAGACACTTTGGTTGTTTCTATCCTTTGGCTACTACGAATAATACTGTAAGAACACTGGTATGAAAGTATCTATTTGAGTTCCTGCTTTTGAGTCTTCTGGATATATATCTAGGAGTGCTATGTTTAACTTGTCGAGGAACCAAACTATTTTCCGCAGCAGCTCTGCCACTTCACATTCTCACCACCGTTATACAAGAATACTTAACCTTTCTGAACTTCAATTTCCTCATCTATAAAATAGTACTACTACTACTACTACTACTTACTTCACTGGGTTATTATGAAGATCAAATAAAGTAACACAAGCAATGGGTACATAAGAATCCTCAGTAATGTCAGTTTCCTTTCTTAATTTCAATCTGTTTCGTATTAATGTTGACATGTCTATCTTCCTCACTAAATTATAAACTGGTAGAAAGTAGCACTCCATCTTGGTCATCACTGTTGTTAGCTACCATCAAGTTGGCCCCTGCCACATGGCAACCCCATGCACAGTGGAACAAAACACTGCCCAGTACTGAGCCCTCCCCATGGTCAGTAGCAGATAGGACCACTATGAGCCACAGGTTTTTCACTGGCTGATTTTTGAAAGCAGACCAACCCAGACCTTTCTTCCTAGTCTCTCTAAGTCCACAAGTTCCAGTGAAACCTGTTCAGTACCATAGCAACAAGCAAGCGTCCACTGACAAACTGATGGTAGCCATACGTGAGGTATGCTGGCTAGGAACAGAACTGGGGTCTCCTGCATGGAGGCAGGAATTCTATCACTGACCATTACAGTCCCTAAAAAGACTTACAAAGGTTCTGCACAGAATAAAGCATAAATGCTCCAGCGACAAAACTAATCACACCCTTAACACATACAAAAACCAAACCCACTGCCATCAAGTCAATTCTGACTTACAGTAACCCCTGTAGGGTTTCTAAGGCTATAAACCTCTACGGAAGGAGACTGCCTCATCTTTCTCCCATGGAGCAGCTGGTGGATTCAAGCTGCCAACCTTCTGGTTAGCAGCCCAATGCCCTAACCACAGCTCTACCACAGCTCCTTATCCCTTAATACACAGCAGGCATTATTTATTAATGAACAACAAAATATCTGAATTAATTTGAAAATGCAAGAGCTATGGTCAGTAATGGTCTCAATATTCTATTTTAAAATAATCTAGTTGGCTGAACAGAAATATTGATTTAACTAGTAACCTTGATTCATTTTGTCATAATCAATTATTCTTAAATTTTATGAAAAAATAAAAATGAAAGCATTAATTATTAAGCCACTGTTAAGGGGGAAATCCATTTTAAGAAAAATGTTATTCTAGAACTGCAAGGATGATTCTCATTGACATCATACCATGGGGAAGACATCAAGACATAAAAGACTACATACTACATGATTTCTCTTATATGAAATTCTAGAATAGGCAAAATTAATTTATGGCCCTAGAAATCATATGAGTAGCTAGCTGACGGGGGGCAGAATGAGGGAAAGTGGACTAATTGCTTGGGGGCAGAGTAAAATAGTCATCTTTATTAGAGTTTATTAAAAGTCATCAACTTATACCCTTAAAACCTGTGAATTTTATTACATGTTAATTATACCTCAATTTAATAAGCCAGTCACATAGAGCTAACTTAACAGAAGGAAAAGAAGCAAAGTACCAAATATGGTCAATTATCTACTATGCTATTATATAATTAATAAGAATGGAAAGAAAAGCTATTTCTTTCTGCCAGAGCGAAAGAAATTATGAGATTAATTAATGTAAAGGTCTTTAAGAGCTATAAAAAAATGAAGTATTAGGTAAGCACACATTTGGGGCTGTTGCAATTAAGTGAGTTTCACAGGAAAACTTCTGACTGCTAAAGGAAAAAATGTTCACGTTGCATATTATTATTATCATGTTATTAACATTATTCATATTTTTATCATAATACTATCAATGGTAACTTTACTTGTTACCATAATTGTAACAGTCATGCTTACCAGACCCTGAAGAAATAACAAAAATTCCCATAAAGAACTACTGCTACCCAATCATCTCAGAATTTACCTAAGAAATTTCAAAACTACTTGGCTAATAAAAAAAAATCCTAAAAAATTGGTAGCATTTTAATAGTTCATTATTATAATTTTGTTACATAAATATTAGTTTTGCAATGACTATTAATTGTTCAAAACAGCTTTTGGAAAAAAAAATTTACACTATCATTTATAAGAAAAAAATTGGTGGAGCACCTTTCTTTAAACATTCCTTTTGATAATCTTATAAATTATTATAATTGCAGATACACTGTAGTGATAACGAAGGCATCCAAACATACCAAACTCACAGTTCAAATAAAAACAAAATTTGTATTTCCATCAATTCAAGAGAAAAATATAGTTCCCTTACCTCCTCCTCATCATCAGAATCATCCCCAAACACTGATGGTTTTTGCAAAACAGGGTGCAACTGCTGTGTTTTCTTTGGCAAAATAAGCCCATACCTGCATTTTTTTTTTGAAATAGAAATTACACCATTATCTTTTAATGTTAAAAAATAATACATTGACTACCTCTTCCAGATGGAAGCTACCAAGTCAAAAAACGTTACAGCCTACAAACACTTAACAGACTCTCTGATTTTCAATTATCTCAACATTTTATTAAGCTGTAAGATATTATAATTACTCTTAGTAATTATATAGTGGACATGGGCCTACCTCAAATACTATTTTTACCTAGGAAGAATAGTAGCTGCAGAATTCAGAGATGTTTTGATGGAAAAGTGATAGTGACGTTTTGCACTTGACTGCTAACCAGAAGGCCCGCAGTTCAAACCCACCAGCCCACTCCTCCGAAGGAAGATGGGGCAATCTACTTCCGTAGTGATACTGCCTCGCAAACCCAAGGAGAGGTCGCTATGAGTCTGATGGCACACAACAACAACAACAACAGTGGAAACATCAGTTCATATCCACTGAAAATAAAAACGCTCTAAATTAATCTGTGGTCTAACAAGAATCAAGAGGTAGATTTTTTTTCTACTGCGTACTTTCAAAGAAGTTATTAGATAGTGTAACCCACACGAAGTAACTGGGGAACCCATGATAATTCTGTTTTACAAATACGTTAACTTAAAAAAGACTATGTTAACTAAGAAATCTAGGTAGCCATTGGGTAAATGATCATTACACTTCAAAGCTCCTTTGCTTTGCCTTGGATCATCTAAATAAATCATCCTACTAGAATCAAGTTATTTACTTGCTAATGTTTTGGCCTTTAAGATTCAGATACCACGGGAAGCCGCACCAAAGGTAAGGATTACCCACCAAAAACAGCCTCCAAGTAGGTACAGTACTGTCTCTTTTGCGGCAACGTATACCCCAAGCCCCTAAATGCCTACCCTTTTCTGTGGCTTCTCAGCACATTCCTAAAACGAGAAGGGAGGGCGGGAATCAAGACTTGAGCTTCTGCCAAGGAGAACAAGGCCCTCTAAGGAAGCCAGGAATGGTCTCTCTTCTCATTGCTCCTGAGAGCATCCAACCGGGGAGAAACTCAAGCGCGGGGTAGGAAGCAAGACTGAGGGGCCTCAGACCGAGCTTTTGGAAAATAGAAAAGTCTCGCTCTCTGCCCCTCAGCCTAACTTCCTTTATTTCCTCACAAGTTTCTCCCTCAAACTTCGGGCTTCCAACCTGAAAAATGTATGGGGGAGGGGAAAACATGTTCCTCAGGATTTCTTGTTTTTTCCCGTCTCTAGCCCTGACGACACAGCCCCTTCACTTCCAGTGCACTTTTACTCCTTGGCCAAAGACACAGACGCCGTGGTTTCTCCTTTCCCAGCCTGACCCTAACTCCCGGATCACTCACTGCCTGCCCGGAATCGCCATCTTGCTCCCGTCTCCGCTGAACGTGGCCGACGCAAACGTAACGCAGACGCAGAAGCAGACGCAGACGCTGACTTCGTCACGAAAACTCTCGCGCAGTTTTGGCCGGCCCGGAAACGATTCTGCTTTTGGGTCGTTTGAATCGCGTCCACACCTCTGAAAGATCGGTAGCCCTCGGTTCTGTTTCCAAGCTGACTGCCTGCTTCGAAATCAAAGGAAAGAAAAAAATTAAACGTAGTCCGGGAACCAATAGCATCAGCATCGCCTGGGAATTAGTAAGAAATGCAAAATCTGCGCCCCCTCCTAAACAAAATCAAACTCATTGCCGTGGAGTCGGTTCCGACTCGTAGCTACCCCTCCTTCGGTTTCCTGGGAGATATGTCTACGGAAGTAGATTGCCCTGTTTTCCTTTCGAGGTGTGACTGGTGGATTTGAACCGCCAGCCTTCTGTTTAAGTAGTCAAATGCCTTAGGCACTGCTCTACCAGAATTCATGACGCCCCACCTGGACCGAAACCTGCTAAATTGGAAACTAGGATGGGGCCCAGCTTGTTTTAAACCTTCCAGATAATTCTGATGATCGCTGAAGTCTGAAAAATACTGTTGTAGGCTGTTAATCTTAGGACCTCTGGTGGCCTAGTGCTTAAAACATTTGACTGCAAACCAGAAGACTGGTAGGTTTGAACCCAATCATTGGAAGAAAGACTGGGTAATCTTCTTCCGTAAAGATACCGCCTGGGAAACCCAAGGAGTATTCGCTCTGAGTGGGAACCATCTCCACGGCAGTAAGCTTGGTTTTTGGTTTGGAAGCTGTTAATCCATTCAGGGTTTTAGGCAAAACATGATACTATCCACTTAAAACTTCTGAAAGCCGGAACCAGCGTACGGCGGAAACCTAATAGAGAAGTAAAAGGAAGATAACTTTCCACTAATAGAGATAGGTAGAAAAATAGTAAGATTATGCTGTCAGAGAGGAGCTCTGGTAGCATAGTGCTTAAGGCACTTGACTGTTAGCCAGAGGGCTGGCGGTTCAAATCCACCAGCCACTCCTCGGAAGGAAGATGGGGCAATCTACTTCCATAGTGATAACTGCCTCGGAAACCCAAGGAGGCGTCGCTATGAGTCAGGTCTGACTTGACGGCACATAACAACAACATACTGTCAGAGGTGGAAAACTTGCAGACCCGGAAAAACAAGGTAGTCCCATTGAGGTCCAGCTCTCATAGGTCACTGTGTTTGTTAATAATACTGTTCATGGTGTTAACTGTGTATAAAAATTAAAATTACATGTTGTCCGTTAGGTGCCCTGAAGTCAGTTCTGACTCATAGAAACGCTCTGTACAACAGAAGGAAACCCTGCAGGATCCTGCACCATCCTCAAGAGCTTTATGTTTGACCTTGTTGTAGCCACTGTGTCAATCCAACTCATTGGGAATCTTTTTTTTTTTTTTTTTTGCTGACCCAAGCCCTTCTAGGACTCCCCTTCCTTGCTTCTAAGGAACATTGTGGCTGTACTTTTTCCAACACAGGTTTGTTTGTTCTTCTGGCACTCCATGGTTTAGTCAATATTCTTCACCAACACTGTAATCCAAATGCATCAATTCTTCAGTCTTCCTTATTCATTGTCCATCTTTCACTTAAATCTGAGAGGATTGAGAATAGCATGATTTGGATCAGGTGTAGCTTAGTCCTCAAAGTAACATATTTGCTTTTTAACACATTAATGGTAGCTATATCTTTGTCCATCTTTTTAACCTATTTTTCACTACTTGTATCTTTAACATCATTTTCTTGTTGATAGCACATAGGTGTGTCTTTTGAATCCAATGTGACAATCTCTTCCTTTTTAATTGGAGTGGTTAGGCCATTTTCATTTAATGTGATTATTGATCGGTGTTTTCTGTTTGTCCCTTTTTTGTTTCTTTTGGATTAATTTAGAAATTTTCAGCTTAACCTTTGTTGGATTATTAACCACACCTCTTTGCTATTTTTTTTTAAAGATGTTGTTTTATACCGCATAACGTGGATAAACTTGGAGGACATTATGCTGAGTGAAATAAGTCAATCACAAAAGGACAAATATTGTATTAGTCCGTTATTGTAAAAGTTAAGGAAAGGTTTATCTATT